CTGGGAAAAATTCGAGAAGAGCCATCTCAAGCGATCGTGGACTGAATTCCTAAAGAAATTGCGAGGGGACAATCCTTTCCCGGGAGATTCCCAGTGGAATCTTTGGAAATATTAATTTTCGTGAGAATTAATATTTCAGTATTCCCTCTACCGCGTTTTGTGCATTTCCACTATTGCAAAAAAATCTCGAGTGAATTAATAATTATTTATCAATTGGAAGGGGGGGAAAGGAAGGAGGAAACTCAGCTCAACAGTGGAGCTACGCAACTCACTCCCATAAGAATTTGAGAAAGTTAATTCCAAGGTAACTGAAGAGAGAGAGAGGAGGAGCAGAGTGGATGGAGTAAATCTAGTTTAACCCTTTAACGCTCGACATTTTTATAAGTGTTTTAAGAATAAAATTTGAGTTTTTTTGAACTGAGACTATAAGTAGTGATAACCAAAAAATATATCAGAATTTTATATTTGTTTTTCTATCGTTCGTTTTTTATTTATTGGTAAATATGACTTGAATCCTAAAAACATATACGAAATGAGCAACCTATACAGAGAAAAATGAAGTGTAATCTATACGATATAACTCTGATAGTCAGCTTGACGTTTTTGAGCTGAAACTTTACTATATTTGTGAGTGAAGTTTATCATTCAGAGCGTCAAGCTTACTATTTCAGAAGAATATCTTATAGATCACCATTTAGATAGTCAATCGTCCCTTCATTTTTCGCCGCATAAAAAACTGTAGGTCACCAAGTTTCACAAAAATAGGTTGATTTCTTGATTTTCATGTCCACCATATTGAATTCGTCATTTTGAATTGCTGTATTCTTTTAATTTCACATTTTGCATCTGAGGAAGCTTCCAAATGTATAAAATTATAACAAATACCAATCTATTCATTTATAGTGCACTTCTAGATGTCAGTAACAATGCTAACTATGCCTACTTGGAATTTGACAAAACATGTTATCATTAAAACTGAGCTAAAAGCAGACTAAACCGAATCTACATACAATCTATATACCATTTTGTAGAAGAAGAATTCATCTTTACAGTGGTGCAAAGGAAACGAAAATATCTCCTTTTGACTAAGTTATGGATTCTTAAATGAGTTTCTGGTATCTAGTTACCAGTAGGCGTTAAAAGATTAATTCCCCCGAGTTCTTAAAAAAGTCGGCTGGACCGCCACGGTGCACGCACGCGTTGCACTTAACCGTTCAATTTAATCGTTCGGTAACCGAAAGTATTTTTCTCGCAGAGACGTGGCGGAGCGTATTTTTCGCGAAGGAGTCCACGAGATTTCGCCACTGACAGATTAAGGCGAAATCACTCGTAATCGATCGCGCGCCCTTCTCTGTTTACCCGAGCGCGCTTTGCACTCTCGCAGCTGCAATTTCAAGAGTCTAAGCGGGACGCGCGCCGTTGCAACGTTTCATTCTTCGTACTCGCCGGATCTCGTAAGTAGGATCTTCAGAATTTACTTTCTCACGGACGACGCGCGACAGAGGAGAGCGCGTTTGTCTTCCGTCTCCGCAATAGCGTCCTCAAAAGCGTCTCGTTGAAGCTGAAGAACCGTGCGCGCGATGCTTCCAATCCGCCTCGTCGCGAGCAAAGCGAAGGCGCGGCAGAGAGCTTGATAAAGTCGATTTAACGTTTGCCAATTGATAATGATTGATAACGATAAGAGCGAGTATCGAGGCGATAGTGAAAGGAGACCTCAATTGTTGTGAAATGGCCGTCGGGCGAGCCGGACTAACGGTGTGAGAAACGCGATAAAGTGCGCCGCGAAACAAACACGGACGTAACACGTTCGATATCATAACGTAACGCCGCTAGAGTCGACGGGAATCTTTGAAAGAAATCCTCGGATATACACTTCTCTCTCTCTCTCTCTCTCTCTCTCTCTCTCTCTCTGTGCCGGTCGGCGAGCGTGATAAATAACGACGTATGTCGCCGCGAGAAAGTGATATTTCAGATCTTCTCACGTGAGTCCTTCGAAGCGTTGAAAAACGCAGATATAAAGGTATGTTTCTATTGTGTCCGCGATGGGAGTGAAATATATTTCCGTGGTATCAGTATTATGTTACAAAGTGCCTCCGCGACCGTGTCAAATGCACGGGCACCGTTAGGTCGCTGCAGCGTTGCGATAAATGAAGATACGAAGCTTCTAATCTAATTGATACGGGACATCTGATATGCGCGCGATCGCGTCGCAAAGCCTGTTCGATGTAACCCGCGCGCAGGATTAAATGCAGCACTATTCGCGCAACACGTGTCCCGTGTGCTCGATAAAGGGGCATTATAAATATCGATAGCGCGGGACAATAAAGTATCAAGTTTCTTAACAGCAATGAGAGAGACCGTCGAATCGACGAACGCGAGTGGGGCAAAGAGGTGGAGGGAAGGCAACATTTCGAGCTCGCTCCGACAAATGACGGGACGAATTGCTGCTGCTGCAAAGTCGAAACGGCGATTTTTGCGGCGCGGCTTTTGTTCCCTAGGAATTCACATTCAGTCTGAAAATATAATTTCGAGAAGTCATAATAGTGAGGTTAAGGAGGTAATTTGGGAAGTGTTAAAGAGAGAAGGGGCTGCGGATCCGCTGAAAGTGGAGAAGCTTCATCGGAGGAATATCATCCGTAATTCGAGGGTATTGCTTGAGATTACAGAATGTATCCAGATATAAAATCCCAAATGGATCACCTAGGGAAATTATTCGAAGAGAATATTCAAGAACGTAGTTCTCGGCGTCGCAAGATACTACTTAAAGTCCGCGAATATAATGCGGGACTCTGTACTCTCTCTCTCTCTCTCTCTCTCTCTCTCTCTCTCTCTCTCTCTCTCTCTCTCTCTCTCTCTCTCTCTCCCCCCCCCTCTCTCTCTCTCTCTCTCCTCTCCCCCTCCCCCTCCCCATCTCCCTCCCCCTCTCCCTCTCTCTCTCCCTCTCCCTCTCTCTCTCCCCCCTCCCTCCCTCCCTCCATCCCTCCCTCCCTCCCTCCCTCTCTCTCTTTCTCTCCCTCTCTCTCTCTTTCTCTCTCTTCGCGCGGTGTTTCAACAGTCGCTGCTTTCTTAGGATTCAAGGTTATTATTTAATATTCAGGCGCAGAGTGGGGCTCTCCGCGGCGAAGCAATCCGAAAGGCAGAGATCCGTCGGAAGATCCAACGTGGGATTAGATGGGAAAATAGGATTATCGAGAATCGTTTAAAGACTCGACATCGAGAAAGCGTATGCAATGACTGAAAGAACGCCATCAGCCGGCAGTGAGAAAGCGGAAGAAATCACGCCGAATAAGACGGCGGATGTAGACGGTGGCGCTTTGTCGGCGACGAAGACGCCGGCCATCACAAAAGACAGAAGCGAAATTAAAAGTCGAGCCAAGAGGAACATCATTATCACGCCCAACTTACCGCCCGCGGAGATCGAGAGGGACGGGACGAGATACCGCCGCGATGAGAACGGACGGTGGAGGCCGGTTCTGTATTGATTAACGTTCCCACACGGTTAATTGCTTTTTTCTGCACCGGCGGTTTTTAACCTGCGATTGACAGACTGCGAGGCCTTCTCGAGGACCGAGGCCGAGAACACTCGGCAGAACTTAATGAATCGTTATTGATTGATAGTAACATTAATAGAAATATGCTTATGAAGTAGATGAATGTATATGACACATCGCCGGACAATGATAATTAGCTGTATTGTACATTCTAAGGTCAACCGCTAAGTTTTTTCCTTTCTTACAATCCAAAATTCAAAATGTCATAAAAGTCGAATGTTGAAGTGTCTCACCGGATTTCTTTTCGTTCTATGCGTAATTTTGTGTAGGGAGTTTAAGTAGGTTGAATTCTTTATAACAATTCCTTTATAACAATTACTTTTCAGAAAAAAAGATCAGTTTGTTCTAAAAATCTCCTTCCCGTAGAAACTGATCTTTTTTCTCGCTCAAACAGCTATATCTCTTTTGATAAATATTGCATGTATTCTATAAAACGCAAATTTCCGAATAAAAATTAAATATTATTTACCTTGGAAATTAAATTTATCTCGAGAAACATTCTTTTTTAGTCCAAAAACTAGATTGAATTTGTTTTGGAAGTTCTACGTTCTATTTGTGCTAAAAACGAAACTTTGCAACAGCAGTGAAATATTTGTCGACCAAATTTTATCGTTCCAAAAATCTATTTATCTTTCTCTACATGTCGACCTTTTTATATTAAAAACTATCGTTTCCTGTAAAGTTTATTCTATAAAAGATAAAAAGTACTTTCTAAACAATTCTTGTTAATATTTGAATAGCAATAGACGGCTAAGCATTTTCTTGTTATTCGTCTAATATTTTCAGTATTTTACGCGCATTCATTGTAGAATAGTATTTTTATAGAGTTCTAAGCTTCCTTCCCCCCTTCCTTCCTCTGTCTCACCCTGTTGTTCGATATCATAATCACGATACTCACGCAATATTGTGGACAAGATATTTTCTGAACCACTCACATATGCATATTTATAGGATTTCACACGAACGTCATTTGAAATGCAAAACGATACTTGACTATTCCGATAATCTTAAGTAAAATATACGAAACATCTTCGAATACGACAATTTGCATGAAATGGCAGAGCCTATCTTTTAATATGAATATAAAATAATCATAGAAAAATTGAGAATTCAAGGACTTTGAAATGTCCATGATGTAAGTAAATTAATATAGAGACAAACACAGATTACTTAAATAAACAAGAATACAAAATTCGATCAAGATTTAAGAGCAACATCAAAGAGATACATAATAAATATAGGTAAAATAAAAAAAATTCACACAAAAATTAAATTAATTACATTAAATTACATTAAATTAATTAACAAAAAAAATTAAAAATTGAAGAAATAAGTAATAGCGTTTGTGCTATTTTATAAAACTATATATATCAAGCTTCTATTTTAACAATATTTTCAAAAAGTCAAATTCAGATTGAAACTCAATGTTTGATAATGATTACAATAAAGAGTTTTTTACGTGTAAACACTTCTGTTTGGGCATATGCAAGTTAAAATTGAAATTTAACGCTTGTATCACTCTTCGAACTGCAACAAGCTTATGTTTGTTGTGCTAAGCTCTTATCAAAGATTTATGTAACCTCTGGCACTTAACCTTTGCGACACCGCGTATACGTAATGTAATTCCCCCAAAGGGAACTATTAATAAATGGCGATAATTTTATCGGTTTGAAAATCGTCATGGTGAAACATTAATCAATCAGTACGCAGCGTTATTAGCGCGACGGATCTGAAAGCATTATAAATAACGGGTGATTGGCGAGAAAACCATGTAAAACGTTTCCGCTTTCTCGACGTGGAGGAAATATTTCGTGCGTCACACGCGTCAGTTTTATTGAGAACGAACGTTCGAGACAATCTAAATATACGCCAAAGTAAATCTCGAGCATGAAAATTCAAGTGATCGCGTTCTTAATGATTGCCATGCTGGCAATCACAATCGCGCACAGATCGTCGCAGAATAAAATACCGAATGTTATCCCAAACAGAACAGGAATAGATAGTCAGAATATTATAACGGCACCTGATATCCCGTGTCAGGAAAATCATCGACATGACGCCAATGGAGTGTGCCGGAAAATTATATAATTAAGAAGACTTGTACATGGTAAATTCGTGCACAGTGATATTTAGCTGAAAAGCGTAGAAATTTTGGAAAAGTACCTAACAATTTGCATTGCATTTCGATGAAACAAAAAGTGAATTAGAACGCTGACCTAAACTTTCGTTCAACTTATGGAACGATACAGAGAAGGTTCTTCGAGTTGAAAATCGATCAATCGGGAAATGCGAGAAAGGATAAATAAGTTGACAAAATTTTTTTAATAAGTGAGTGTGAGCATATGTGTGTGTATTGTTCAGATATTTTAAAGGACATAACAAAATTTTGATAAACGTACATATCAGGGTGAAGAAAATTAATTTTAGTGTTGAAGAAAATTAATCGTTCATACGTTTCCAATGTTTAAAAACGTTTCAACGACGAACTCTTTGGAAAAATGTACAGTAAATTTTGTTTAGCGAAAAATCTACAAGATGTTATCGTTTATAATAACATATCATGTTTTGCTATTACTATAACTTGATCACATTAAGTAGCAAATTAAAATACTGTCAACATAAAGTTACACATATAAATACACATACAAAAAATTATATGAATCTAACATATTTAAAGTTAACTAAAAGATATTTTAATACATCTATGAAGCTTATAATCCTATAAAGTATTCTCCGCAAATATCTAAAAATTGTTTTTCTTTATCAATCTACAAATACGTAATTTTATAAATACGAATAACTCTGACATGTGTTTTCACAATAACGTGTTTTATTAACGATGTATAGTCAAGACTTGCATTCCCGATGAAAATTTTTCAATCCGAAGTTATTTGTAAAGCATGAATATTTTGTTACGAAATGCTTCTGTTTATTTTAAACGTTTGATTCCACCAATCGTATTATTCTTATTCATTCTACGGTTATTTGAATATCTTACGCTCAATGGAATTTACAGTGTACTAAAAAAATACCAAAAAATTTCAAAGCCTTGCGTATGTAACTCATTTTTTATGTTGTGAAACAAAGATCGAATGTCAAAGTTTTTATCGCAGTATTTATTCGTGCTCTGTTATTCTTTTTTTATGTTCGTTTGCAGATCCGACGATATAAACCATGTCATCCGAAAGCTACAAGCAATGCGATGAAATATCGTAACGGCGACGGCGCAAAAACAGAGAAATTAAGCAATTCGTTCGTTTCGTATTGTCAAAAAAAAAGCTACACAACTACCATTTGATTTACAATAAATCAATAATTCCTTATTAAATATGATCAGCGGCATATATTATTTATTTTGTATTACTGTAATTATGTGATAACTCATCGTTATAATACGGATTCTGATGTAATTTTTATATATCTTTTTATAAGTTTTTACATCCTAAAATAAAATAATAGAAAATCTACTAATAAAATAGCACAAACACATTTCTGTTAACTGCGTGTAATCTGAAAATCATTGTGTGTATTAAACTTTTAACGATAGATTAAACGATAACGTTGCATAATTTTGCAGCGACAAAATGTTTAAAAGTAAATGCTTAAAACAATAAACATACAAAAACTATATCATCTTTATTATTTCGTCGCTCACTTTGCTTATGCACAAACATCGCAATGTATTTACAAATATAATAATAATTACAAATAACAAGCATTTTCCAGTGATTAAGGCATAATAGTTTTAAAATGCCTTTAAGAGAAAGTATAATAAAGATATTACTTAACGACATGACTTGATGGGGTGCAGTGTTTTGCACGCGAGTTGAAGGCAATATGCAAAATTAACAACCTTTCTCTATACAAACTTACACAATGTGTATTAAATTTTACCACATAATTTATCATTTTTATATATTGACGTTAAACTTATAACGATTTCTTTTTCGCTTATATGAAGCAACGAGAAAGGGTAGTTCATTTAAGCTCTAAGCATATACACCAGGTATACGTTCTTCTCTTTACTTTTCTTTCTCTTTACTTTATCGATATTTTTCGTAAGTACAACCTTTGATCCCGACCAATAACATCCCGGCAAATAACATCGCCCTCCAGTTCCCATATTTGAGTTTTATATCATAATCCAGCAAAATATTTATGATATAAGTAGAAAGTACTGCAAAAGACACTAAACACTCGTTGAGGCGGATAGAAAAACAAATGAGTAGTGGAAATGAAATAAATGATAAAGTAAGATCGTATTAATAAAAAAGTTATGAAAAAATCTAAAACGAGAAATACGAAATAAAAGATAAAAGATGAAAGAATCGATCGAATCCAAATTTCGCGCGCATTAATTTATAGAAAATTCTGAATTTTTCTTTCTTTGGTATTGTCAAAATGGAAACTTTTGCCCATATATTCTCTTAATAACAATGATATTCGATTTAGTTATTCAATACGTTCCATAAAATTATTAAATCAGCGTATGTTAATTAGTGTAAGTTTTTACAGCAATTAATTTCGTATGATTAAATACACATAGTATTATTATTTATTTTATAAGTATTATTTATTTATTTAATTATTTATTTAGTTCTTTACTTACTTATTATTAATTATATAATTAATTATATAATAAATAATTTATTTATTAATGTCAATATAATATTTCAAAGATTATTTGGTTGTATATTTCAATATTATTTAATTATATAAGATCGAGCATTTAAATTAAGACCTCTAAATATATAGAAAGTAAAGCAAAATAAAAAGAAATGTTTCAGACAAAAGTTATAGGATTTCAAAGAAAATTTATTGCGGTGCTATTAGTCGAGTTGAATGATGAATTCAATAATCACACATACAAGATTATTAGAGGTTAAATGACGAAAAACAGAGTTTAAATCATTAAATCAAGGTAATTTTCAACTTATTTGCATTTATTTTATTAAATGCTGAAAAAGACAACATCAAAGAAGACATCAACTTTGATGTACTTTTGAATATGTTGAATAAAAGATTCGTCATCTTTTTGAACATTTAATAAAATGCAAAATAAATTGGAAATTATTTTAATTTAATGATTTAAATTCTGCTTTTAGTTATTTTATCTTCAATGACCTTGAATGTGTGGTCGTTGAATTCGTCATGAGAAGGATTACAAATGTAGCTTTTAAAAAATTAGGGTTCTATTAAACAATATAAAGTTGACTTTTATTTCACCTTGACATTCCACCCGAAAGTTAAACCAATAGCACTATAGTACATCCCCTTTGAAACCTATAATTTTTGCCTAACATTTTCTTTCATTTTGCTTTGTTTTTTATATATTCAGGCGTCTTAATTTAAATATTCCATTCGGTATATTTTTTCAGATGCTTAAAGAAAAAATATTGCAATATATTTAATTATTGATCTAAAATATATAATGTTGTCAACATTGGCTCGACATAAGATTGTCAAGCCAACATTAACAATATTATGATTTTAATATAAAATATGAAATTAAATTAATATAAAATTTAATATTATGATTATAAATATTATGATTTTAAATAAACTGATTAACAATAATTAATAAAGTATATATCTTCTTTTCAATAAAATTACGTTACTATAATTTGTGTAAAGATTATATGATATATAATGCAGCTTTACCAAGCGGCATTAGATTTATTATTTTGTTTTACAATTTCAATTTATATAATTTGTTTTTCTTCGTTATGAGCTTTATAAATAATGCTTCTAAAAAAATTATGTTTCGGCTTACAACAAAATTTTTTCGGAAATATTTGTCCACTTTATGTATGTTCGCAAACTCGAAGATATCAGCATTTCAGTAATATTGACTAAAAATTAAATGCAACGGAAAGCTATCAAAATATTGTAGCGGCAATCATATAATAACGAAAAAATTCTGCATACCGATGAAGCTTCAATAAATTTATATTATTAATCTTGGGTACAATATGTATGCATTTTAATTACATTATAAATTATGCACGTATGTAATGAATTACCTAATAAATAATATTTCAATTTACATATACTCATATGATTGAAGAAATAAAATTCGTACCAGAAGGAAACCAAAACATTTTTGAGCTATGCCTACAAATGAGGTTCTCCTACCTCATTTATTCGCTGATATTCATTAATTAATATCTGAATAACTATAGTAATAATAATAAAGCGAATATATGTATAGAAGGTTTCTTTATTTAATTTAATAAGCTATACTCTTATATACAAGCTTATTTAATATAAGCAAGTTTAGATACAATGAATAAAAGACTTATTCGCAGTCCACTGACAAAGATAATTTTGTACTAGAAATATAAGTTTTTACGTAATCAAAATATTATAAACCAAATGCGCGATGAAAACACCAGTTTATGTTATCTTTATCTTTCTGTTGCTTCTCTTGCTTAAATGCAAACATCGCATCAGCATATAACGGCAGATAATAAACTGTTTTCAAATAATTGAGATATAATTTTATGACTAAAACCTCCGGCCACAATGTCGATATTAGTTAGTGACATGGTTTGGTGAAACATAATATTCACTGTGCAAATCAAGAGAAATATGCAAAATTAGTACAATTTTGCAAAACTAACTTGTATAATATTCATGAATTTGTCAGATAATTCGTAAGTTTCTGTTCGAACTTATATATATTTTTACTTTCGTTTCCCAACAAGCGTATAAAAAACTGCGGAAAAGAATGTTTCATTTATTCTTTGAGCGTATATGTCGCGTATATGTTCTTTTATTTCTCCGCCGATATTTTTCATGAATGCAACATTTTTTCAAAATGAATACTACCGCCCTCCAATTAGCATCTGTAATTCACGACATAATTCAATATATTGCGTCATAGAAAATAACGTTTGTTACAAATGAGAAACACAATAAGAGAGCACTTAAATATCTGCTATATAAGGCGTGTAGAATAATAAATATAATAAGGTAAAATAAATGATACATGAGATTCGCGGACATTATATTAATCAACATAATTAAGAAGAAAGAATTATTTAAAAATTGATCAAAAATTTCACTTTAATTTAGAAAACACTGAATTTTTCTTTGACACTGTGTTAAAATGAAGCCTCTCACCAATATTTTACTAATGATACTCGACTTGGGGCTATCGAAAATTTGCTAAAAGTATTGAAACAATATATATCATAATAAATATTAAAATTGCCAGAAGGATTAATTATTGATTCCAGAATAAAATTTATTGCAAGACTATGCACAAAAAGCATATGTCCATTTGGCCAATTTCCTGATTATAGGCGAAAATGTTGAAAGCGACTAGCTGACGCATAAAACTATTTCATCAAAGAATATAATTATACGAGTAAAAAAATCTTAAACGAAAACGGAAATTGAAGCAAGATAATTAAATAAAGCGTAATAGCATTCTGTGAAATTGCTAAATCAGCGCGCAAAGTAGCTTTAAGCTTTTACAAGTATCAATTTTATATGTATGTGATTATATGTGAGTTTTAATCTATTTAATATTAGTAAATCTATCTAATATTAATAAATCTATTTAATAATAATACGAGGATTGCCTTTTATATTTCGGGAATAGAGAACAAAAAAAGGAAATTAATCATCGTACATGGGTTTATTGTTTTTCAAAATATTCTCCATGAAGATCAATACACTTTTACATGCGCTTGAACCAATTTTCGAAGCACTTTTTCCACTCCGATTGAGGTACCTCCAAAACATGCATTTTGAACGTATCAACCGCTTCTTCAGGCGTCGAAAAACGCTGACCTCGTAATTTATCTTTGATTTGCGGGAATAAAAAGAAGTCATTGGGTGCCAAATCAGGGCTGTACGGCGGATGACTCATCAATTCGACTTTTTCAGTTCTCAAAAAGTCTCTTGTTTGAGCCGATGTGTGAGAACTCGCATTGTCCTGGTGGAGAATGATGCGTCTTCGGCGGTTGATTTCCCTTATTTTTCCGAAGACTTCTGACAAACAAATGGTTGTGTACCATTCAGAATTGACCGTCCGACATTGCACTAATGGTACAGTTGCCACATGTCCGGTTTTTCCGAAAAAACAGGCGACCATTTGCTTCGAAGTGCTTCGTGCGCGAACAACTTTTGTTGGATTTGGCTCATCTCGAAAGACCCATACAGTCGACTGCTGTTTACTTTCGGGCTCATACGCATAGATCCATGATTCGTCACCTGTTACGATATCATAGACGTGTTTTGAAGCACCACAATCGTATTTCTTGAGCAT